GAGGCCGAGGCGGGCAGATTGCTCAAGGTCAGGAGTTCAAAACCAGCCTGAGCAAGAGCGAGACCCCGTCTCTACTATAAATAGAAAGAAATTAATTGGCCAACTGATATATATATAAAAAATTAGCTGGGCATGGTGGCGCATTCCTGTAGTCCCAGCTACTCGGGAGGCTGAGGCAGAAGGATCGCTCGAGCCCAGGAGTTTGAGGTTGCTGTGAGCTAGGCTGACGCCACGGCACTCACTCTAGCCTGGGCAACAAAGCGAGACTCTGTCTCAAAAAAAAAAAAAAAGCTTCTGCACAGCCAAGGAAAATATCATGAGAGCAAACAGACAACCTATAGAATGGGAGAAAATATTCTCATGCGACACATCCAATAAAGGGCTGATAACTAGAATAGATTTAGAACTCAGGAAAACCAGCAAGAAAAAATCAAACAACCCTATCAAAAAGTGGGCAAAGGACATGAACAGAAACTTTTCAAAAGAAGATAGACTAATGATCAACACATATGAAAAAAAGCTCAACATCTCTAATCATCAGGAAAATGCAAATCAAAACCACAATGAGATATCACTTATCTCCAGGGAAAATTGCCTTTATCATAAAGTCCCAAAATTATAAATGTTGGCATGGATGCAGAGAGCTAGGAACACCCATGCACTGCCAGTGGGACTGCAAACTAGTGCAACCTCTGTGGAAAGCAATATGGAGATACCTTAAAGCGATACAAGTGGATCTACCATTTGATCCAGCAATCCCATTACTGGGCATCTACCCAAAGGAAAAAAGACACTGTATAAAAAAGACACCTGCACTAGAATGTTTATAAGCAGCACAATTCACAATTGCAAAGATGTAGAAACAACCCAAGTGCCCATCAATACACAAGTGGATTAATAAAACGTGGTATATGTACCACATGGAGTTCTATTTAGCCACAAAAAACCACTGATGATATAGCATGTCTTGTATTATCCTGGTTAGAGCTGGAACCCATTCTCCTAAGTGAAGTATCCCAAGAATGGAAAAACAAGCACCACATGTATTCACCATCAAATTGGTATTAACTTATCAACACTTACGTTGCACATATAGCAATAACATGAATCGGGTGTCGGGCAGAAGGGGGAGGATGGGATGGTACATTCACACCTAATGGGTGTAGTGCACACCATCAGGGGACAGACACACCTGAAGCTCTGACTCGGATGGGGCAGGGGCCCCATCGTATATACGTAACCTAAACATTTGTACCCCCATAATATGCTGAAATAAAAAAAATGTTTTTAAATTCTCAATGAAATACTTATAAACCAAACCTAGCAACAAAGAATTATACACCAGGACCAAATGGGATTTATTCCAGTCAAGAAAGGTTGGACTGACATCTCAAAATCAATTAACATAAGATATCATATCAATAGAATAAAAAACAAAAACTACACAATCATTTCAACAGATATAGAAAAAGCATTTGAAAATATTCAACACCTTTTCACATAAAAGCATTAATAAACTAGTAATAGAACAAAACTTCCTAATCTTGATAAAAGGTATCAATGAAAAACTCACAGCTAACATCATACTTAATGGGGAAAGACTGGATGCTTTCCTCCAGGGCATAAGACAAGGATGTCTGTCTCTTTGCTCTCATTCCACAACACGCAAGAAATCCTCTGCCAAATAACTAATTTGTCTAGAAACCTAGGTGCTAGAAATTGGGAAATATCTTAAGTAGGAGGGTGGATATTGTGGATCTAGGTGTGTATATCCTAGAAATCTATATTCTTACTGTAATTAAATAAACCTATACTCTTATTTGTCAAAAAAAAAAAAAAAAGACAAGGATGTCTGCTCTCACTGTTTCTATTCAACATTGTACTGAAAGTTCTTTTTTTTTTTGCAATCACATAAGAGGAGGTTTATTTTCTGGCTAGCCAGGGTCCGAGCCCTAGAGCACCAACGCAGTGGCCACTCTCGCAGGCAAGGACCTGTACTGAAAGTTCTTACCAGGGCTATTAGGCCAGAAAAATAAATAGGAGTATCAATATAGGCAAAGAACAAGTGAAACTCTCAACTCATAGATGATATGATTTCATAAATAGAAAATCTTAAGGAATCTACTTAAAAAATACTAGAACTAATAAATGAGTTCAGCCAAGTTGCAGGATACAAGATCAACACATAAAATCAATTCTATTTCTATACACTTTCAATGAACAATATGAAAATGAAATTAAGGAAAAAAATTCCATTCACAATAGCATCTAAAAGAATAAAATACTCAAGAAAATATTTAACAAAAGAAGCATGAAACGTACTTCTCAGAAAACTATAAAATATTATTGAAAGAAATTAAAGAAAATCTAAATAATTGAAAAACAAACATCCTTTATGGATCGAAAGGCTTAATGTTGTTAAAATGACGATACTACCCAGATATACAGATGCAACACAATCTCTATCAGAATCCAAACTGACTTCTTCTTAGAAGTTCATAAGCTGATTCATGTAGAATTTTAAGGGATCCAGAATAGCCAAAACAATCATGACAAAGAATAAAGCAGGAGGAATCACACTTCTTGACTTTGAAACTTACTATAAAGCAATGGTAGTCAAGATCGTGTGACACAGGACAGGCATATGGGATAGACTTGAGAGTACAAAATAAACCCATACTTCTGGTCAACTGATTTTCAACAAGAGTGCCAAGACCACTAAATAGAGAAAGAATTGTATTTTCAACAAATGGTGCTGGGACAACTGAATAGCCACATATAAAAGAATAAAATTGGAACCTTACTCATACCATATATAAAAATTAACACAAAATAAGTCAAATGCCATTATATAAAAGAAAAACTATAAAACTCCTAGAAGAAACAAAGGTAAATATTCATGATTTTGAATTTGGCAAAGAATTCTTAAATGTGATACCAAAAACACAAACAAAAAAAGAAAATATAGATAAATTGGATAGACTTCATCAAAATTAAAAACTTCTGTACTTAAAAGGACACTATCAAGAAAATGAAAAGGCAACCCACAGAATAGGAGAAGGTATTTATAACTCATGTATCTGAAAAGGGACTTGTATCCAAAATATATTAAGAACTCTTATAACTCAATAATAAAAAGACAAATAACCCAATGGGCATGGGCAAAGAATCACCATAGTATGTGAGGGGAGGGTGTTTTACATTTATATTAGAGCAAGTTACTAACTGGCTCATAATAAAGGATTTTTTTTTCTAAAAGTATAGTACATGGATCACTTGGATCAGAATCACCGGGGGCTTGCTAAAACTGCCAGTTTGTGGCCATCTCTCTAGCTAGACACAGTGTGTGGAGTGACTGGATTGCAGGGCTCAGGAATCTGCATTTTTTCACCAAATCGCTAGGTGATTCTGAATCACACTAAAGTTTGAGAATCACTCATGTAGAATGTAATTTCACAGACTAATATCCCAGATGGTCTCACTCTATTTGAAATTCTCAAAGAGTTATGTTGTCAGCTGGTGAACATTTGTCTAATACAAGCAATCATAGTGCACAATAACATACAATACACATCAATGTTGAACAATGGTATCTGTTCTCCAGTACTATGAAACTTTAGAATATTGCTTTTCTATGTGTGTTATGAACTAATAGCATAAATATCAACTTGTCTGAGAAAAAATAAAAAACATGGGCAAAGGATCTGAACAGACAGTTCTCCCAAATGGCTAATAAGCCTTTAAAAATGGTCAACATCATTAGTCACCAGGAAAACACGAATCAAAATCACAATGAAATATTATTTCACACCCTCTAGTATGGCTAGCATTAAAAAGTAAGATAAGTGCTACCAAGTATACAGAAAAATCAGAACCCTAATATGCTGCTGGTGGGAATATAAAATGATGCATTTATGAAACATTGTTGCAGTTTGAAAACATTGTGGCAGTCTTCAAAAACTTAAAGACAGTTATTAAATGGCCAGGAATTCCACTTCTGAGTATATATCCAAGAGAAAAGAAAATAAATGTCTACCCAGAAATGTGTACACAAATGTTTATATTAACATTATTCATAATAGCCAAAACTTAGAAACACAAATATCTATCAATAGATGAAATGAGGCCAGGCGCAGTGGCTCACACCTGTAATCCTAGCATTCTGGGAGGCCAAGGAGGGTGGATCGTTTGATCTCAGGAGATCAAGACCAGCCTGAGCAAGAGTGAGACCCCATCTTTACTAAAAATAGAAAGAAATTAATTGACCAATTAAAATTATATAGAAAAAATTAGCTGGGCATGGTGGCACATGCCTGTAGTCCCAGCTACTCGGGAGGCTGAGGCAGGAGGATCGCTTGAGCCCAGGAGTTTGAGGTTGCTGTGAGCTAGGCTGATGCCACTGCACTCTAGCCCGGGCAACAGAATGAGACTCTATCTCAAAAAAACAAAAAAAAATAGATGAAATGATAAACAAAATGTAATATATACATACAAAGGAATATTAGGCCATAAAAATGAATGAGTATGGATATATGCTAAAACATGGAAGAGCCTTCAGAACATTAGCTAAGTGAAAGAAGCTAGTCACAAAGGATCACAAACATAGTATATGATTTCATTCATATGACAGCCCAGAACGGGAAATCTATAGAGACAGAAAGTAGACTTAGGACTGAGGCATAGATGGGGATGGATAAGAGGGTGAGACCTAAAGGGTATGTGAGGTTTATTTTGATGAAAATGTTCTGAACTTGACTGTGATAATGGATGCACATGTCTATGAATATACTAAAAAAATCACTGAATTGTATACTTTAAGTAGGTGAATTACAACATAAATATAGTTCAATAAAGTGATTCTTGATGCTTTGCATTTTTGCTTCTTTTTAATACTGTATGGATGAATGACTTTTATTTTAAATATTAATTGTATTAAAAATAATTATTGTTGAAATGCTTTATAATGCCAACAAATCTAACTATCATGGTTTTTTCCTTACCATTATCTCCATTCATTCTTATTTCATATTCTTTGTAGAGTCTTCCTATGCTTTTGATCATTTCCTCCATGTACTGTTGCTCTGGGGGCATCTCTCCCTCCAAACTTTTATGGCGACCAAATATCCCAAGCCCAACATCTGACCAGTTTTCCTGTAAATGTTTAATAATCTTGAGAGTATCGTATTTTGACACTAGAAAATCCCCAGTAAACTTTTCTTTCTCCTCATGCAGCACCTAGGGAGTGAAAGGGAAGGCGAGAAAGTTGCATATTGTTCAGTAATAATTTTATCAAAGTCTACTCAGATCCTTATTCCCCAGTGACTCCCAATTATTTTGGAGTCGCATACCCTATTATTATTGTACATACCATTTTTTCTTCAAAGATATAACATGTGACATTTATTTTATTTTTAAAATTAAAGTAAATTTAATTTTGATACTCTATGAGATAACCCATGATTTACCAGAATAATAATCATTCTATTAAATCCTATGTGGGTAAAAAATTAGTGACAGGTAATTATGTCCTAGTGAGCTGAGCATATTTAATTACTATTTGCTTTAGTAAGGTTGTAATATATCTGTTTGCGGGATCCCCACTAGATTGGGAAAGTTCCTAGAATGTACAGGTTATATTTTATTCATGTTTCATTTATCTGCCTAACCCCAAGTGCAAGTCCCGACCATGACATATCAATAAATATTTATGGAAAAAATAAAGTGCAATTTATACATAAAGTTTGCCATTATTTGTGACTCAGATAATGGAAATATTACTCATCCTTCATTAAGAGTAATCAATGTAGGGAGGCATAGAGAAGAGCAATTAAGAGTAAGAATTTTGGCCGGTCATGGGGGCTCATGCCCATAATCCTAGCACTCTGGGAGGCCGAGGCGGGCAGATCATTTGAGCTCAGCAGTTCGAGACCAGCCTGAGCAAGAGCGAGACCCCATCTCTACTAAAAAAATAGAAAGAAATTAGCTGAACAACTAAAAACTATATATATAAAAAAATTAGCTGGACATGGTGGCGCATGCCTGTAGTCCCAGCTACCCAGGAGGCTGAGGCAAGAGAGGATTGCTTGAGCCCAGCAGTTTGAGGTTGCTGTGAGGTAGGCTGACGCCACGGCACTCTAGCCCAGGCAACAGAGCGCGAGACTCTGTCTCAAAAAAAAAATAAAAAAAGAGTAAGAATTTTGAGTTGGAGACACCTGGACTCCAATACTGACTGCCACTTAGCATTTATAGATAACTTACGTAAGTCACTCAACATTCCTAAGGTTCAATTTCTACATCTGTGAGATGGGGATTATAAGATCCACATCATGTGGCTGCCATGAAGAGTAAGAAAGATAATATATGTAAACACTTTCAGCTCCTGACAAAGAGTAAGTGCTTAATAAAAGATAATATATATAAAACATTTTCAGCTCCTCACAAAAAGTGCTTAATAAATGAGTTATTAGTCCTAATAAATTAAAAAACATTTTTTAATTTTATCTATGCATATAAAAACTGCTGAACAGTAAAGAAAAAGTCACTAAACTAGGTATATTGTATGTAGGACAGCAAACATCTTCAATTCTGAGCGTATTCTGCTCAACTCATTCCAAAAGAAAAAATGATTTCTTGGGATCTGAATGAGATTTCATTAAGTCATGAATTTGATATTCACTTTGGAAGTATTTCAGTGTCATATATTTTCCTTTGTTAGATTACTATAACATGAAAGTAATCTGATTAATGAAACCTATTTTCAAAGCTCAAACCCTTTTAGAAAGATTTTGTTAATGGATAAAAGAAAATGTGGTATACACATATAATGGAATATCATTCAGCCTTTAAAAAAGAGAAAATTGTGAAATATGCTACAACAGGGATGAACCTTGAGGACATTACGCCGAGGAAAATAAGCCAGTCACAAAAGGAAAGTATGTATGATTCCACTTATATGAGGAGCCTAGAGTAGTCAAATTCACAGACAGAAAAGGTATAATAATGGTTGCCAGGGATTAGGGAGAGGCAGACAGGCGAGTCACTATTTAATGAGTACAGAGTTCCAGCTGGGGAAGATGGAAATGTTCTGAAGATGAATGGTGGTGATGGCTGCACATCAATGTGAATGTACTTAATGCTACTGAACTGTACATTTTTAAATAACCAAAAGGTAAATTTTATGTTATATATATTTTACCACAATAAAAAAGATGATATTAATTTTAAAAGTCCAATTTGTCCTTAAAACAAAAGCCAGATACAGGAGAGGCACAAATGTTACTTATGTCTGACAATTAGATAAGAGAATCATAACTACCCTCACTGCCACTCAAGTATCTTTGCCCAATGTCTTTTCTAGCAGCCTAACTTTATTTGGCCCTAAAATTTTAAATAGAAATGAAAAAACTGAAGCATATTTTTAAAAGCCCCCATGGTCTTGCTGTTTTCCTTCCCTTTAATAAATATTTATATGGCATTTTTACAGGATGATATATACCTCAGTTGTAGGAATGTGATTACCAAGCTATTTATTACTAATAGAAAGTCTTACTTTTTGCCAATGCTTGAAGTCTGAAAGAACTGAATCAAATGTATTTCTCTTATTAGGGGATAAAATGCCTTTTCCACTGAAAGAAGAAAAAAGAGAAAAGTTTCATAACAAGGTATAAACAAAGAAAATCATAAGTCCATACACTAAACAATTATGTTTCTCCCCATGATTTTCAAGAATGTATTCCAGGTCTAGCCCCTCTCTCCATAGGTATTTATCTTTAAAATTATAAATTCAGGCTTCAATTAGACCTGAGTAACCAAGCTACAGGGCCATGGGCCATGATAGCATTTTTTTAAGAGTGGTCTCTGAGTCTTGAGAATTCAAAACTAGATCATCATGAGAATTCCTGTTAAATACAGCTCCCAAAACAATATATAAATAGAAAGAAAGCCTACTGAGTGATTAAGGCTCAAATTTTAAGTCACGAGCCCCAAACCTGGTAACAAAGCATTTCCTTTATTGTCTATGAAGTTTCACAAGGTGAAAGCTATTGACAAAGAAGTTCCTGAAGAGAAAGAGAGAAGAGAACCATGCCCCGCTATGCTCGCTGGCCAGCTAAGCATCAACAAACAATAGAAATGGGTACATGGCAGCAGCAACCAGCTAGGAGATGTACTAGCTTCAGCTTCTAGAACTTCCAAATACACTGATTGGGAAACCCTTTATGGGGTATGAAGAGCTGAAACCATCGTTCTCAATTTGAAATGGAAATGGCACCCAAATGTGTCTCCTCAACAAAGTATTTTAAAGTTTAAAAGAACCTTAGAAATCAACTAGTCCAGGCTGTGTCCAAAGTGTAGATTCCCACTAATCTTGGCTGTGATTTGGGTATTTGGCCTCAACTTAACTACTTTATTAGAAGTTTCTTCCATTGTCAGATTTCTCTAATCATTACAAAGTATAATAACCAATCAAAACCACTCTTCCTGTAACTGCCACTCATTGGTTTTACTTCTCTGCACATGAATTTGAAGATGGATCCAGATACTCAAGTTTGCCAATACTAATGACATAAGGTTGATTTTCTTTTTACAATAGAGAAAAGACAATAAAAGAGTTGGATTCAAATGGAGCCCGCAGCAGCTAGATGGAGGGGGATGGTCAGGATGCACTCCAGAGATACTAAGCACTAGAAACCACAAGACTATTCAAGATCCTTTTCAGGATTGTGCCTTTGTAAGGACTGCCGATTACCTCCCTCAAATCAATGTTAGAGTAATCATAAGGTAAAAGAGAGAAACAGAATTGGACTGAGTTATCATACATGATATAATACAATCAGAAAAACAAAATACTTTGTGATCCATTTATTATTCCCGAAGAACTGCTGCCATTTGACAAGGCTGTCCTTAACAATTTGCAACGTCTCCTTTGTAGTCTCTTCAGTATGTTCTATCTCCTGTTTAAATTTATTCACTGAGTTTCTCCATTTTTGTGTCAATTTCTGCAATAGTGCAAGGTCTGCAGTGTCCTAGATAAAAAGCATAGAATAAAACAACTTATTCATTTAACTTATGCAACAAATATTCATTAATATATACCAGGCCATTATTAATATTATAACAACAGAGAAAAACATAAGGAATTGATCAAAAAATTAAAGATATTCCTCTTTCAAAATATGATCACTACTAAATAGTTCATTTGGTGATGGTTTTTCCAAGGCACATAAAGTATTGGGGATAAGATGTTTTCCTTATCCCCAGTTGCAACACAAACGCAACTTTCCCACAGGACCTTCACAGGAGCCATGTGGTGCACATTGGAAAGAACAGGAACCAAGAAGCCAAATGGAACCAAATGTGAATCATAGCCATTACTGGCTGTGTAACCTTGGGTGACATTACTTAATCTATTTGTCATTGATTTCTATTATCCATAAAATAAATAACTTAATGCCTATCTCACAGATAGGATTGTTTTCAGAATTAAATGCAATGATTAGTGTACATGACTAGACTCAGTAAAAGCACACTAGATGCCAGTTCCCTCTTTTTCTTCCCTAGGATATTCACTGAATTTTCCCATAAAATTGTATAGAATGCATCAATAATGCAACTATCAATAAATATATCTACTTACTTTTCTTTAGTCTAAGCATTAATATAACCATAATTCTATGAACAACTTTGTAATGTTGATAAACTTAGATAAATTGTTTTAATTAGGGTAGAAAACAAATATAAGGAATTGAGAGCCTTTTTTCACCTTTCCTTAGATTTTTTTCATTCTCCCCACCATAAAGCACAAATATAAAGCCATGTTTAAAAATCTGTAAATTTAGCAAAAATTTCTTATAGTCTCAACCCTCAACATTTGGAGTCTTTCTTCCCATAACTTAAATGAATTGAGCTTTACCTTAGTTGAAAGCAGTATGATGAAATGCTTAGTGTATTTATTCCAGCCTTTTTCATTAAGATAAAGTCTTTTAGCCAATATGACTCTGTTTCTTTCAATTACCTATGAAAATAATGTACTATAATCAGGAACTTAAAACATTAACAAACCACTATAATTTTTTTTTTTTTTTTTTTGAGACAGAGTCTCGCTTTGTTGCCCAGGCTAGAGTGAGTGCCGTGGCGTCAGCCTAGCTCACAGCAACCTCAAACTCCTGGGCTCGAGTGATCCTTCTGCCTCAGCCTCCCGGGTAGCTGGGACTACAGGCATGCGCCACCATGCCCGGCTAATTTTTTATATATATATCAGTTGGCCAATTAATTTCTTTCTATTTATAGTAGAGACGGGGTCTCGCTCTTGCTCAGGCTGGTTTTGAACTCCTGACCTTGAGCAATCCGCCCGCCTCGGCCTCCCAAGAGCTAGGATTACAGGCGTGAGCCACAGCGCCCGGCCAAACCACTATAATTTATTACACTGATTTCATATATCAACTTTTCACTGAATCATTAACTCAACCAAAATGTCTTGTTTAAATCATTAACTAATATGAATCACAAATTCATATTTTCTAAAACTACTGAATTGGAACCAAATTACAGTAGATAGCAGAAATTCTCAATTTAATCTCAAGACCCCTTTACACTAAAAAATTATGGAGCACTCCAAAGTGGTTTTTATTTGTATGAATTATATCTATTGATATTTACTATATTGGAAATTAAATTTAAATTATTTAAAATATGTATTTGTTAATCCACTTAAACATTAATAAACTCATTTTGTATTAACATGAACAGCATTTTATGAAAAAAATAACTATATTTTTTCAAAACATGAGTGGAAAAGTGCTACGGTTTTACATTGTTACAAATGTAAATATCTGCCTTAAAAGAATAGAGCTGGATTCTCACATCTGCTTTTCCATTCAATCTGTTATAACATCCCATGCCAAGTAGCTTCTCAAAAGATCCACTGTGTACTCATTAGAGAATGAGAGGGAAAAAGGCAAATAACATCTTAGTTTTATGATGAAACTAGTTATGGTCTCATGGAGTTCCTGAAATGGTCTCATGGACTTGCAAGGGGGCCCCTGGGCCACACTTTGAGAACCACTCATATATCTAATCAATTGTTTAGTCATTTAACAAATGACTGCTCTAGACACTGTGGACATAGCCATCAACAAAAGAGATAAAGTCCTTATTTTCAGGGAGTTGACATTCTAGCTGTCACTTCTGGAAGGAATTTTAGGGATGATCTAACAAAAAGCCCATCATTAAAATGTATTCTTCTATAGAAACCTCTACTTGGGTCAATTCTCTACTTGTTAAATACCTTTAGTGTGATGGAGACTTATCTTTTTTTTCCCTCTTATTGAACATGCCTAACTCATATTTGTTTCTTACATATTTACTGTCATGATTATTTCTTCTGAATTATGTCAATGTCCCTTTAAAAATTCTGCATCAGATGAAGTCTGACCATTCCAGAGGAAAAAGGGAGAACTGTCTCCTTCTACTTATTCTCTTTACTTTTAATCTTGTAAGAGTCTAGAAATGTTTTAGGAACCATTTCATACAATCACCTTATAGTGAATTCACAGTGATTTCAACGTCACAGATCTTTTTTTTTCTCATGGACTACTCTTACACTGGGTTCTCCTTTAGGTGGTTGTCCTCAGTTTTGTCTATTTGTCCCTGAAGGTAGTATAGCATGATAATTGGGAGTTCAGGCTCTAGAGTTAGACTTGCTAAGTTCTACCATTTACTAACTATGTGAGCTTAAGCAAATTACATCTTTGAGTCTGTTTCCTTGTCTGAAAAATGTGAATAATTGGGATTACTATAAGAACTATGCCAACTAATCCCTTAGCAAAATATCTGGCACATAGTAATAACTGAATAAATGACAGCTGCTACACTTTTATAATAATATTAATCATGGTAATGATTAATGTTAATCATATTAATAAAATTGATCTATACATTTATCCCACTAATATTTCATTTGTCTGGATAGGTCAATAATTCTAAATTGTTGAGATATTTGAATACGTTAAGTTTTTAGGGGCAGGAATTTTGTCTTAATTTTTTGTTTCACTAACCAGTACATAGAATAATGTCTCAGGTGCACAAAGTTTTCTTAAAAGAATATATAGATCCTTGGCCAGGTGCAGTGGCTCACGCCTGTAATCCTAGCACTCTGGGAGGCCAAGCCGGATAGATCGTTTAGCTCAGGAGTTCGAGACGAGCCTGAGCAAGAGTGAGACCTTGTTTCTACTAAAAAATAGGTAGCTGACACTAAATATATAGACTGTGCATGGTGGCGCATGCCTGTAGTCCCAGCTACTCGAGAGGCTGAGGCAGGAGGCTCGCTTGAGCCCAGGAGTCTGAGGTTGCTGTGAGCTAGACTGACACTACTGCACTCTAGTCTGGGTAACAGAGTGAGACTCTGTCTCAAAAAAAAAAAAAAAAAAGAAGAAGAAGAAGAATATATAGATCCTTAAAATTACCATTCTTTTTCTTTTCTTCTCTCTCTTGTTTTGAGACAAAGTCTCACTCTGTTGTTGCCCTGACTAGAGTGCAGTGACGTCATGGTAGCTCAATGCAACCTCCAATTTCTGGGCAGAAGCAATACTCCTACCTCAGTCTCCCAAGAAGCTAAGACTACAGGGCTTGCCACTACACCTGGCTAATTTTTCTTTTATTAGTAGAGATGTGTTTCACTCTTGCTCAGGCTGCTTTTGAACTCTTGAGCTCAAGCAATCCTCCTGCCTTGGCCTCCCAGAGTGCTAAGATTACACACGTGAGCCACTGTGACTGGCCAAAAATTACCTTTTTTAGTCAAAGAACTGATACATAATTGTTAAAATCAAACAATACAGAAGTATAAAGTAAAAATTCAAAATTCCCAGCAGCCCACCCCACCCTCACTAAAAATATTGTTATAAGTTTGTTATTCCATTGAGTGAAGATTTTATGTGTGTGTGCATATACAAACTACACATAGTTTTTTATACATTTGTGATGACTTTTTTCTTTTTTATGTAAGTACATTAAATTTGTGTACTTTATACTTGTGATACTTTAAATATAAATAGCATTTTATAATATATTATTCTAAAACTCGCTGTTTCTTTTACTTATCATAGCCCTCTTTCCACATGTATATCTATAACAGTATTTTAAATGACTACGCAGTTTCTAATATACTAAGTATTCTAATATAGTTTGGATAACTATAATTTATTTCCCCTATTGATGATATTTAGGTTATTTCAATAACCTAATTTATTTCTGTAAACATAAGCAATGTTGCAATGAATATCCATATCCTTATTCACTTGTACTCTCAGTGAGAAATACACTTGTATTTCTCAGGAATTGATTTTTGCCAGTGGGATTGCAGTCCAAGAGGTAAAAATTTAAAATGTTGTTAGCCCCTATAAAAATCTCTAAAAAAGCTGTACCAATTTATATTCTCATCAACAGTATATGAAAGTGTCCATGTTTATCATCTGTTTAAAGTTCGCTAATCTGTTAAGCTAAAAATGGTATCCAATTATTCTTTATTTTCCATCTTATTCATTAATGGTGAGGTTGAAAATATTTTCAAATATGTATTAGCCATTTGAATGTCTTACTCTGAATTATCTGTTTATATTCTGTGCCCACTGTGTTACTAGATTATTTTTATTTTTAAAATGTATTTATTAGACCATGCTAGTAATATTAACTGTTTTTAATATACGGTACCAACATTTTCTCCCAGTCTGTTATTTGCTTTTGTTCCTGGTGACTGTCACCACATGAAAATTATAATTTTAAGGTTTCATATCATACATGGAAAGGACTTCTTCATTTCAGTATTATAAAAAGTTCTCATAGAATTGATTCTAGGCGGAGCGCGGTGGCTCACACCTGTATAATCCTAGCACTCTGGGAGGCCAAGGCGGGTGGATCGTTTGAGCTCAGGAGTTCAGACCAGCCTGAGCAAGAGTAAGACCCTGTATCTACTAAAAATAGAAAGAAATTAGCTGTACAACTAAAAATGTATAAAAAAAAAGTTAGCTGGGCATGGTGGCACATGCCTATACTCCCAGCTACTCAGGAGGCTGAGGCAGAAGGATCACCTAAGCCCAGGAGTTTGAGGTTGCTGTGAGCTAGGCTGACACCACGGCACTCTAGCCTGGGCAACAGAGTGAGATTCTGTCTCAAATAATAATAATAATAATAATTTATTCTAGGCCGGGCGCGGTGGCTCACGCCTGTAATCCTAGCTCTCTGGGAGGCCGAGGCGGGAGGATTGCTCAAGGTCAGGAGTTCAAAACCAGCCTGAGCAAGAGCGAGACCCCGTCTCTACTATAAATAGAAAGAAATTAATTGGCCAACTGATATATATATAAAAAATTAGCCGGGCATGGTGGCGCATGCCTGTAGTCCCAGCTACTCGGGAGGCTGAGACAGAAGGATCGCTCGAGCCCAGGAGTTTGAGGTTGCTGTGAGCTAGGCTGACGCCACGGCACTCACTCTAGCCTGGGCAACAAATCGAGACTCTGTCTCAAAAAAAAAAAAAAAAAAAAAAAAAAAAAAAATAATTTATTCTAATATATAGTTTGTTTTCACTTTTACATATTTTATCCCTTTTGGGATTTACTCTTTTTTTTTTGAGACAGAGCTTTGTTGCCCAGGTAGAGCGAGTGCCGTGGCATCAGCCTAGCTCACAGCAACCTCAATCTCCTGGGCTCAAGCAATCCTCCTGCCTCAGCCTCCCTCCCCAGTAGCTGGAACTACAGGCATGCGCCACCATGCTCGGCTCATTTTATATATTTATATGTGTGTATATATATACATATTAGTTGGCCAATTAATTTATATATATAAATATATATAATATATATATATTAGTTGGCCAATTAATTTCTTTCTATTTATAGTAGAGACAGGGTCTCGCTCTTGCTCAGGCTGGTTTCCAACTCCTGACCTTGAGCAATCCGCCTACCTCGGCCTCCCAGAGTGCTAGGATTACAGGCATGAGCCACTGGGCCTGGCCCTGGGATTTACTCTTTTATGTAAACTTTTTTATAAAGTAGAGATCTAAATTTTTCAATAATTGGATAACCAATTGTGCCAAACCAATTTGAATACCTCATATACACAGGAGTCTATTTCTGAACTTTCTATTCTGTTCTTTTGCATTTATCTATTCTTACCCAAGAAACACATCCTAGTTACTTTAACTTTAGAAAACATTCTGATGTCTAGAAGTGCAAGTTATTTTTTCTTTTTTCATTTTTTTAAACATTAGAGATTGATACTGAGCAAGTTATTTATTAGTATTCTTTTAGAATGTTTTATTATTCTCATATTCAGATTCTTCCAGATGTGTTTTATAATCAACTTACTCCTAAAAATAAGATAGATATTGAGATTTTTAATAGAATTATATTGAATTTATAGATTAATTTGGAGAGAACTGACATCTATACAATATTGATTATTGTTCTCAACCAGTGATATATAGCTCTCCTTTTATTTAGTTTTAAGTTGTTTAAAATAGTTTTAGAGCTTTCAACATATAGGTCTTACTTTCTTGTTAAGTCTATTCTCTCTTTGCATTTCTAATTGTTTATTATTGGTATGTAGGGAATCGTTAGGTTTTCCATATTTATCTTGTACCCAGCTACCTTATCAAAAGCTAATTAATTCAAATAATCTTTAAATTGATTTTTCCAGGTTTCTGGGTAGATAATTGCATAATAAGCAAACAACAGTGATTTTGTAAGTTCCTTTCAGTAGTTATACCTCTTGATTTTATTTGCATTTCATTAGTGAATTAAGGCTTCTAGTGATAGCAGAAATCCTTTTGGCTTTCTTCAATGGGAATGGCTCTAGCATGTCCCCATTAATCCTCTACATTTATAATAATTATCTCTGTCAAGTCAATGAAATTTCTTAACTAAACAAGTCTTTATTCCACCATCCAGTATATTAGCTCTCTCTCTTGCTTTGGGACATATGTGTACTGTGACAGGCATGCCTTCTACATTTTCATCCAAATAATTAACACACTACATGGGAAAGGGTCTAATACAGAACTCTAATGCAGATGTATTAATACAGACTATCTCTGGAGAACTCTGTGACCTGCCGCTAGTGGAGTAATGAACCAATCCAACTGAACCAATTTTTTAATCTGTTTAGGGTCAAAATTCACTGTTAATACCAGTAAGTCCCAGATATCAGACTTGTTACCTTGTGTACCAAGGTAATAGAATCAGAGTGTGATGTCCAGTGATTCTAATATGGTTATGTTATATGAAAAAAAAGTAAGAACCACCTTTCCTACTTTATTGTAAATTATAATAAATAGCATAAGTTAGTATAAACTTATTATAAATAGTATAAATAGTATAAAATAATTTAAATAGTATAAATTAAAGTTGAAAATTTTAACATGTTCCCAAAAAACAGAAAAGGAATTCTTTCTCATACTTTATAGATTCTGGTGAAAACAAGAGCCATTAATTGTGCAATAGCTAGATACCAAATAAGAAAAGAAACAAAGATAAAGTTTAACTTTCTCTTTTCAAGGCCCACAAAAGCTACATTATTTGTCAATAATATACATCTCCTTTTTTAAAAGTTTTTGTCTAGATTATTAAAAATTATAAAAATGAATCTTTAACCAAAAAATAAGTTTGAGTTGTGAACCCAGATGAACCAACCTTTAGGGCCAGTTCATATGTGGCTGAACTCCAGATATCTCTTTCTGCCATTAATTGTCTAATATCATTCTCCATCCGGCCTCTTTGTAGTGTATATAAGTCATGGTATTCTTCTACCATTCTATAAGAAAAATTGAGAAACAGCTATATAAACAAATATTTTTTATAAAAAAATGAACTTGATTCTAAAATAGGTAATTTGTTCCTTTAAGACTCATCATAAGGTAATTACAACATAATTACTGAATATATTGATAACACATATATTGTGAAAAGAAAAAATTCACATTTATTTATAAATCTTACAATAGTCTTAATGAAAGTAAAATCCAATATATTGTTACCTGCTCTAAACATTTTTTATTTTATTCTTTTCTATTTATTCACTAGCATTTTCAGAACATGATATTCCAATGGTATAACAAAAGCATATCTAATGAAAAATTTAGAATACAAGTAACAGTAATGTATTAGTTTTATTATTAAGCTTTTTTATTCATAGACCTAGGATTCTTTATTAACAGCACAAAGCTCAACAACTGCAAGCTACTAAAATTTCAAATTATATATAATTAGTACAAGATTCAAGAAAATTCTCTCCCAACAACCCAAAAGCTCAAGTATAATTAATCAGCTTTTTCTGAACTATTGTTTCTTTATGTCTACCAGAACATACCTTTCCCTTCTAATTTACAAAGAAGCTTCTCTTAAAATTAAAAGCCTTTCTGAGGTAAAAATGAACATAAAAATTGTAAAGGGACAAGTAGCATTTCAGAAATCTTTTAAAACCTTTCCTCCCAAGGGATGTTAACTTTGATATGAGAATGAAAAGCCAATGATATAGAATTCTACCCGTCTGGCAAAAGGCAGAAACTACCACATCAGTTCTTGAAGCTTCTTCCTATTTAGAGGCTTCCATTTCTTCAAAATAATTGAGAGGATTTCATACAGAAGAATACACATGTAAAAACCCATTGAGCTGTCCCCTTAAGATTTGTGCACTTTATTGTCTGAAAATGGAGACTTCAATTTTTACAAAAAGGAACTAATGACCCTAATTTATAACAGCAAAAGCAAAAAATCCAGAAACAATCTCACTGTCCAATAATAAGAGATTGGCCAGATGAAAACATGATGTAGTTCTATGATAAAAACACTCTGCAACTAACTAAAGATCATGTTCTTAATAATTTGGTACATAGGGAAATTCTTTATAATAGGAAATGAAAAACCCAAATGATAAAATTATATATTGCTTAATCTAATCTTTATAAAAAAAATATAAAGTAAGTCCTAGCTAGAGCAATTAAGCAAAAGAAAGAACATCAAAAGTGGAAATGAGGAAGTCAATTGGCCCTGTTTGCAAACAATATGATCTTATATATGGAAAACCCCTAAAATCTCCACCAAAATTCTTATAACTAATAAATGAATTCAGTAAAGTTACAGGATACAAAATCAACATATAAAAATCAGCAGTATTTCTACACACCAACAATGAACTAGTAGAAAGAAATCAAGAAGGCAACCCCATTTATAATAGCTACCAAAAAAATTTAGGAATAAATTTAACCAAGGAGGTGAAAGATCTCTACAAGAAAAACTATAAAACACTGATGAAAGAAATTGAAGACGACACACAAAAAAGTGGAAAGACATACCATGTTCATGGATTAAAAGAATTAATATTGTTAAAATGATCATACTACCCAAAGAAATCTACAGTTTCAGCAAAATCCCTATCAAGATATCAATGGCATTCTTCACAGAAATAAAAAAAAATCCTAAAATTCACATGGAACCACAAAAGCCCCAAAAGCCAAAGCAATCCTGAGCAAAAAGAATAAAGCTGCAGGCATCACATTACCTGACTTCAAAATATACTACAAAGCTATAGTAACCAAAACAGCATGGTACAAGCATAAAAACAGACACGAAGACCATGGAATGAATAGAAACCAGAAATAAATTCATGTATTTACAGCCAACTGACTTTCAACAAGGGCACCATGAACATTCATTGGGAAAGGAACAGTCTCTTTGATAAATAGTGCTCAGGAAACTGGATATCTACATACATAAAAATGAAACTAGACCCTTATCTCTCACCATGTATAAAAATCAACTCAAAACAGATTAAAGACTTAAATGTAAGACCCAAAAATATGAAAGTACTAAAAGAAAACAATAGAAATAATTACTCCATGAAAATGGAAACTAAAAGCAAACAGGAGTAGCTAAACTTATATCAGATAAAACAGACTTTAAGTTTAAAACTGTAAAAGGAGATGAAGATGGTCATTATGTAAGGATAAAGGGATCAATTCAGCAAGAAGATATAACAATTTGAAATATATATGCACCCAATACAGGAGTGCCCAGATATATAAAACAAGTATTACCAGAAGTCAAGGGAGAAATAGACTGTAACACAATAATAGTTGGAGACTTCAACAGTTCACTCTCAGCATTGGACAGATCATTTAGATAGAAAATCAAACATTGGACTTACACTGCACTTCGGAGCAAATGGATCTAACAGACATGTATCCAACAATTTGAATATTTTATCCAAAAACTGCAGAATACACATTCTTCTCATCAGCACAAGGAACATTCTCCAAGATTGAGTATGTATTAGGCCACAAAAGCCTCAACAAATTTTTAAAAATTGAAATCATATGAAGTACCTTTTCATTCCATAATGGATTAAAACTAAAAATCAAAAACAAGTGAAACTCTGAAAACTATACAAATATGTGGAAATTAAACAACATGCTGCTCAATGACCATTATGTCAATGAAGAAATTAAGGAGAAAATAAAAATTTTCATGAGCTGGGCATGGTGACTCATCCCTGTAATTCCACCTACTCAAGAGGCTAAAGCAGGAGGACCACTTGAGGCCAGTTCAAGATAAGCCTGGTCATGGCCAGGCGCGGAGGCTCACACCTGTAATCCTAGCACTCTGAGAGGCTGAGGTGGGAGGATCGCTCAAGGTCAGGAGCTAGAGACCAGCCTGAGCAAAGTGAGACCCCGTCTCTACTAAAAATAGAAAGAAATTAATTGATTTAAACATAGAAAAAAGCCTGGTCAACATAGCAAGAACTCATTTCTAAAAATAATGAAGAAAAAAAATAGCCAGACATAGTGGCGCATACTTATAGTCCCAGTTACTTGGGAGGCTGGCAGAATTTACTGAATTCATTTGAGTCCAGGAGTTTGAGGCTGTAGTGAGCAATGACTGTGCCACTGCACTCCAGCCTGGGTGACACTGCAAGACCCCATCTCTAAAAAAAGTAGAAAGGTTTCAAATGAACAACCTAAAAGTATACCTCAAGGAACTGGAAAAGTAAAAACAAACCAAATCCAAAATTAGTTTAAGAAAAGAAATAATAAAGCTCAGGGCAGAACTAAGCAAAATGGAAACTAAAAAAATATAAAGAATCAATGAAATGAAAAGTTGGTTGTTTGAAAAGATAAACAATAAACCACTGACTAGACTAATCAAGAGAGAGAAGACCCAAAATAAATAAAAAGAGAAACACAAGAAGATGCCTGTAATCCCAGCTACTGTATACAATTGATACCACAGAAATACAAAGGACAATTAGAGACTATTTTGAAGCACTATATGTCAACAAATTGGAAAACCTAAAGGAAATGGATAAACTCCTGGACACATACCTACTGAGACTGAACCAGGAAGAAACAGATAACCTAAACAGACCAATAACAAGTAACAAGATTGAATCTGTTGTCAAAAGTTTCCCAACCAAGAAAAGGGCAGGACCAGATGGCTTTACTGTTGAATTCTTCCCAACTTATAAAGAAGAACTAACACCAATTCATCTCAGACTATTCTGAAAAACTGAAGAGGAGGAAATTCTTCCTAATTCATTCTATGAGGCAAGCATTACCCTGATTCCAAAATCAGAAAAGGACATGGCCAAAAAAAAAATAAATAAAAACACAAATACAAGCCAATATCCTTGATGAATAAAGAGGCAAAAATCCTCAACAAAATACTAGAAAACTGAATCCAATAACACATCAAAAAAATATATATATATACCATGATCAAGTGGCATTTATTGACAAGTTGCAAGAATTTTTTTCAATAAATACATTTGAAAAATTTTTGGAGTTTTGTGACAACTTGATAAAACCTGTAGATGAACTACATAACCTAGAAATATCCAAAACATAAATACATAAATAAGAAAAAGGGAGGACTCTAAACTATCACTCAGAAGATGGCAGACGAGAAAAACAGCCAGACAGAGTTTCTCTGCAGAAAAGGCAGATTCTATGAGAAATTAGAAGAAACAAGCAAGCAGACGAGCATACATTGGACGAAGGATGGAAGGAGGGTACCTGAGACCACAGGACACGCCATGGAAGGAAGTTGCGGAGGAGAACTGGAAGCAGAGACTTCTGGAGCAGTCCAGAGACCAGCAGCAAGGGTAGGTGTAATGGTTACCTTCCCCTCCCTTGCATCTCAAACTGCTAGTGGGCTCCCCAGTGGGTGGAGAGACCTGCGGACACCAGCCCAGAGACGGCCACCACAAGCGAGCGGTAAGCCTGTAGCAGACTCAGCACCAGGCTCCCAACTCCCCAGGGCACCTCCGTGTGCACAGACACGAGCCCCGCGGCAGGCGCCATATTGCCTCCTTCTCCCCTCCCCCGTCCCTATCCGGGCTGCCCAGAGAGACAATAGAGCCACCAGCTGGAGGCAGCTCCAGAGAACGGGACCTTTCCATTTGGGGCCCTACAGCTGACTGAGGGGAACTCAGACGGTGAGCTCCCTACCCGCCAGCCCTCCCAGGTACTGCTGGCCCGGTGATCCCAGGAGAACGAGGCAGACCCTGAGGCTGAGAGACATCGACCAGCTTGGGCTCCCGTGGGTGAATTAGGACTTGCACTCCTCTCCCTGGTGGGATCAGGGATTGAACTCTGGGGCCCAGAGGTCAGACCTGCAGACCAGATCCCCTGCACCCAGGTCTCGCATTGCCCGGGGCACAGAAGGGATATCCGTGAACAGCCTACTGAGGTGTGTGTGCCTGTGGGGGCAGATCAGTGTCCTAGAGGGCAACCCTCCTCCCAAAGGGAGGCCATGCGTCCAGCCCAGGTGGCGTTCCTGCGCAGGGAACCTCCCCGCCGGCATCACAGTACGGGGAGGCCTGGTGGCGTGAGGTCTGGCCTGCTGGCAGAGGCCCAGGAGTAGCTGCGGAGTTGGGGATGGTGGAAAGAAGCCAGGCCTGCTCCAGACTGCGGGTCTCAGACGGCCCCACCCCCACACACAGACTCTCTGACTGAGCAGGGCCATTCCAGCCCCTCCCTGACAGCTTTTCCTGGAAGCAGACAACAGAACTTTGACCCCTGCTAATAGCACTGGTGGTGCCTGAGGGCAGGGTTATCCAACCCAGCTCCGCCCAGACTCACTCCCAGACCAGCCCTCACTGAGCGGGAAAAAGGACACACCTGGAAGTCCCAGGGCACCACCCACCACCTGAGGCACTAGAGTGCCTCTCTACAGGAACAAGAGCTGATAACAGGACACAAAAACAACAGCGTAGCCTGTTCCTCCAAGCAAGCGCCACCTACTGACAGGGAGAACATTCTGCACACCCTTTTCATGGCACCCACTGACTCATTATACAGGGAGTGGTCGAATCTCACCCACAGACACCACCTACCGGCTCAGAAACTAAACAAGGCGTGTGAATACCCAAACGAAAACCTAAAGGAAAGAAACAACAACTGACCAAGATGGGAAGAAATCAGCGAAGGAACCCTGGAAATATTAACAACCAAACAGAAAACATACCCCCAAAGAGGGGCACCAGCCCCTTAGAAATGGACACCAACCAAAATCAGGCAACCAAAATAACAGAAGAGGAATTTCAAATGTAGATCATAAGAAAATTCGATGACCTACAAGAATAACTGGATAACCACCACAGTGAAAACACAAAAAGACTCCAAGACCTGGAACACAAATTCACTAAAGAAAGCGATACAATGAAGAAAAGTTTAACCCAACTCCTGGAAATGAAGAATCAATTCAGGGAACTACAAAACATAGTGGAAAGCCTCAAGAACCGGGTAGATCAAACAGAAGAAAGAATCTCAGAGATTGAAGAGAACACCTTCCAATTAAATAGATCAGTCACAGAGATAGAGCAGAGAAACAAGAGAAAAGAGCAAAGCCTACAACAGATGTGGGATTATGTGAAGAAACCTAATGTGAGGGTCACAGAGTTACCAGAAGAGGAAGAAGAAAACACTCAAGGGTTGGACAAGCTATTTGAAGACATAATAGAGGAAAATTTCCCGGGCCTTGCTAAAAATCTCCAGATACAAGTTCAAGAAGCTCAGAGGACCCCTGGGAGATTCAATGCAAACAGGAAGACGTTACGACATACAGTCATCAGACTGACCAAAATATCAACTAAAGAGGGCCTTCTAAGAGCTGTAAGACAAAAGAAGCAAGTAACATACAAGGGAAAGTCAATTCTAATAACACCAGACTTCTCTACTAAGACTTTACAAGCAAGGAGAGACTGGGGCCCCATTCTCACTCTTCTGAAACAGAACAATGCCCAGCCTAGAATCTTATTCCCTGCAAAACTAAGTTTTGTATATGAAGGAAAAATCAAGACATTCTCAGATAAGCAAAGACTGAGGGAATTCACCAAGACAAGACCAGTCCTTCAAAAAGTACTCAAAACAGTGTTACCTACGGATCAGCACAATAAACACTCACGAATCTAAATCTACTCAAAGCTAAAGATCAAAGCCAAGATACCACAATGGCTCAAGAGAGAAAACAAAGCAACAAAGTTCAACCCAACATAATGAACAGAAATCTGCCCCACCTATCAGTTATCTCAATAAATGTGAATGGCTTGAACTCCCCACTCAAGAGACATAGGCTGGCCAAATGGATAAAAAAACACAAGCCAAGTATCTGCTGCCTTCAGGAAACACATCTAACCTGCAAGGATGCAGTTAGACGAAAGGTAGAGGGGTGGAGAACAATATTTCAAGCAAATGGAAGCCAAAAGAAAGCTGGCGTGGCAGTGCTCTTTACAGATAAATTAGTTTTTAAATCAACAAAAGTAATAAAAGACAACGAAGGTCACTATATAATGGTGAAGGGTACAGTTCAACAAGACAACATAACAATTCTAAATATATATGCACCCAACGTTGGTGCACCCAGATTCATAAATCAAACACTACTGCCTCTCTATACCTTCTAGAAAACTAGAAAGTAATAGCCTACAAACCTCATTTTAAAAAAATTATTAATGCTGAAACTGACAGTCTGACTCCAAGAAAAAGATGTTTTATTTTCTTTCCAGCCAGAATGAGAAACTAAATTCAAATAAAGTAAGCTATACGTGTTTTTAGAATTTAAGAAGTTAGTATCATATTTATCATTTCAGAAGCTATATAAGCTTTTCTCCTGTCCCCTACATATGCTACACAAATTTTAAGCAACTCACTTGGCATTCTTTTCAGCATCTAAAAGAGCTTGTGCTAAATCCTTGTGGGCCTTCTCTGCTTCCTTTGTTAATTTCACATCATGTGCCCGAACCAGACAAAGTTCTCTGAAATAAAGCAAAGAAATTTTAAATTCATAGTTGGAAATTTCCAAAAGTTTCTACTCAGGAAATCAGATTTATACTGAAGCATCTTCTTAGTTATTATGTGTACTTCCCTTCCTAGTTTTTCCACCTTATAAACCAAATCGAGAAATCTAGTGTACATTCTGGATGGAATCTTGACAGGTTTGGCTATAGAATCAGGCTGGCAAGAAAAAGCAGAAAGAAGATGGGGAAGGAGAATCCTCTAGAATGGAGTGGAGGCAGATGCTGACAGGCCTCCACGCTGTTCTACCCCACTGTCTCATATGCCTCTCCTGTCCTCTTTATTCTTGACACCTAATCATCTCACCTTAAGGTTACATAATCACTAACCTTGACTGTTATATAGTACTTTTTCTATTTGAGATTTGAACCTTAACATCCGTAATTATGACACTGCTCTGTAAAGCTGAATCCCCGTCAAATACACTGAGAGCCTTAGTTTTGTGTTAACCTTCATTTCTCTGTATCTGTATCTACAACGATATCCAATTCTTTCTGTTCTCTTGCTAAACATGCAGACAGAAGAGCCTTTACCTTTAATCATTCCACTTTCCCTGAACAAATGACTTAGCATTTTGTTTTGTGTTTAAGATAACTGCAGTTTTTACCTGGTCAGTTCCTCAATAACATGCTTAAAATTATACAGTTCTTCTAAAATGCGCTGGTCCATCACTCGCTGAGTTACCAAGTCTTTGTAGAAATCAATCATCTGCCGTGCAATCTGATCAAGCAGTTGTACATACCTCTCTCTGCATGAAAAAGAAGGGAAAAAAGACATCATGCAGAAAGAAAAGAGAAAGGATCCATAAAATATGCAAGAAAGTATTAGGGAAAGAAATAGTAAATAGACATTCACAAAAGACATGTAGGAAGAACAGATAGGAGGAAAAAAAAGGGGGGCTGTGTTTTCCTGCCATGCCATACAAATGAACAAATAATTGTGGAGAACTGTAACCAGAGCCAAAATTATTTGGAATAACATATCTGAGATGTAAAACAAAAATAAGGACTTGTCTTATTTCTTCTTCTAGATTATAAACTCTATGAGAATAGAAACCATGTCTTACATATTTTATCTTTACAACATCTAACAGAATGCCTTGAATATAGTGAGATTTTTACAAATAGTTCAATTCTGAATAAAACCACTTTTCTCAAATTGGCAAAATGTAAAAAGACACCAACTGTTTAACAATAAACAAAGACCTTTAATACCAAGAAGTAATTTCTTTTGCTTCTGAATAAAACCAAACAAAATATTTGGAAGTGATCATAGATGATAAATTATAAATACTATAACTGAATAGTATTCATTCATATTAAAAGTGATCTAGGTATTATGCCCTAAAGCCTGAGGTCCTTGAATTGCAATATCTTTGAGTTGGACTAGTCATTTAGTTTAACTTCTCACCCACTGACAGAAAGAATTATAAACATTTAAAGTGACAAGGAGTTCTTCAGCTCCATATGCAGCTCATACATTGGAAAGCATCCATTTAGGATTTCTCCTCTTGACAATATAGAGAATAGATACTCTGAAGGGCCCTCCCATACAATACAACTAGATCTGTAAGACAGCATTTTTTCAAAGCATTATTGAGCATGCAGGAAGAAATAGAATCCTCTAATGATGGAAAACAACAAGAACAAACAAAAGATAATAAATTAAAAATGGAGCAGGAGTTGTAAGTAGTATTCAGTAAGCAAACCAAAGATCAGAGTTTCCCTCAGGAAAAATTTATAGATTGGTACAAAAGTAATTATAGTTTCAGTTCATGAATTTTAAATCATTATAACTAGGCTCAAACACACCTTTATTAATCAAAATAGGAACCATTACAATCAACACATTTTTGACAATGAGAAATAAGTTTGTTTATTCCTGTGACGTAAAAATTTGTGCTAGGGATTCGAGGACCTCTTGGAAAGCATTTTCTGCATCCTGCTGGTTGTGAAAGCGTTTTCCCTGCAAAAACTTGTGGAGATGCTTGAAGAAGTGGGAGTCAGGTGGCGAGAGGTCAGGTGCATGTGGTGGATGAGGCAAAACTTCATAGCCCAATTTGTTCAACTTTTGAAGTGTTGGTCATGTGTCGTGCTGTCAGGTATTGTTGTGGAGAATTGGGCCCTTTCTGTTGACCAATGCCAGCAGCAGGCGTTGCAGTTTTCAGTGTATCTCATTGATTTGCTGAGCATGATCCTCAGATGCAACGGTTTAGCTGGGATTCAGAAAGCTATAGTGGATCAGACCAGCAGCAGACCACCAAACAGTGATCAGGACCTTTTTTTGGTGCAAGTCTGGCTTTGGGAAGTGCTCTGGAGAGTCTTCTCAGCCCAACCACTGGGCTCGTCATAGCTGGTTGCTGTATACAATCCACTTTTTGTGGCACATCACAATCCAATCAAGAAATGGTTCGTTGTTGCTGCGTACATTAAGGATAACACTTCAAAATCAACGATTTTTTTAATTTTCAGTCAGCTCGTGAGGCACCCACTTAACGAGCTTTTTCACCTTTCCAATTTGCTTCAAGTGCAGAACGGCCATAGAACGGTCTACGACGAGTTCCGAACTTCTTGTGCAATTATAAGAGGATCAATTTTGATGATTGCTCTCAATTGGTCGTCGTCAAGTTCCAATGGCCAGCCACTGCTCTCCTCATCTTCAAGGCTCTTGTCTCCTTTGCAAAACTTCTTGAACTGTATGTTCATTAGCAGTTCCTGGGCAAAATGTATTGTTGATGCTGCAAGTTGTCTCCGCTGCTTTACAACCCATTTTGAACTCGAATAAGAAAATCACTCCAATTTGCTTTTTGTCTAACATCATTTCCATAGTCTAAAATAAATATAAAATAAATAGCAAGTAACAAGTCATTAGCAAAAAAACATAAAGCTAGAAATGCTGAAATGTAATTATGTTGGGAAAAAAATAAAGTGAAAAATGCACATTAAAATGATATATGACATAACCACATTTATTTAAGAATGTATTCCAATATCAAAGAGCAAATTTCAACAATGCTAAACCATTACTTTTGCACCAACCTAATAATACTAGGACTGAGAGACTAAGCCTAGGACCCACTTTAAAATGGGAAACCTGGGCAAGTACAGGACTATTGCATGAAGCCCAGATTCTAGAAGGGAGCAAATACAAATGCTCTCTTCAGGAAAGTATCCCTGATTTATACCCTGAGGATTCTTTGGTTCAGATCAGCCAAGTAATAGCTCCACAAACAAAGACTGCAAAATACTAATGTAAATCAACCATGAATGAGACTCAGAAGAAACAACAAACAGTAGATTTAGATATTAAAGTTCTCCATATATTAAAATTATCAGAATTAGAATATCAAACTATGTGTGTAATGTTTGAGAAATAAAAGATGGAATCCAAAAATAAACAATTAAAAATTATTATATATGATGAGACACATATGGAAACAAACCAGTAGAATCTTAGGAGAAAAAATATAATTGCTGAATTAACAATGGATGGGATACAGCAGAATAGACACAGCTAAAGGCGGCAGTAATGTCCTAGAAAAAATTACCCAGAATGTAGCACAGAGAAAAGAAGATGGAAATTATAAAAAAGACATTAAGAGACAAAGAGGACAGAATGAGAATATCTAATAAAAATCTAATCAAAGTTCCAGAAAGAGAAGACAGAATGTAGTATAGATATTAGTCAGAGATCACCACTGATAATTTTCCAAAACTTATGAAAGATATTGATCTATACATAAAATTGTGGTATAGATATTGGTACAGGAAATATACAAAGAAATCCAGAGGAACTAAATTTACTCTCCTATCTGAAAGAACAACAAAAATAGGACAAAGTATATGAAATCATTTTTAGTACATGAGATATCAGACAATGAAGGAAAGTGATTCCCGAGAGGTCAGAAACAAATAAGGTGAATGCTGCACGCGTTGTGGGTGAGTTTCCAGGCAAAGAAATCCAGGAGGACCCCAGTGGATTCCATGAGTTAAGGAGACAGAGCTAAGAGACTAGAGAAATGAAAGTGGCCAGAGTCCTGAGGGCAGAGCACCAGAAAAAAAATAAAAAGAGTTGGACAGGATCTATAGAAAGTCCCCCTCAAGTGTTCAGCTAAGTACTTATCAAGGCATAAATGTCAGGGCCAGGCTTGGTGGTTCACATCTATAATCCTAGCACTCTGGCAGGCAGAGGCAGGTGATCACTCAAGGTCAGGAGTTCAAGACCAGCCAGAGCAAGAGCAAGACCCTGTCTCTACTAAAAAATAGAAAGAAATTAATTCACCAACTAAAAGTATATAGAAAAAAAAATTAGCCAGGCATGGTGGCGCATGCCTGTAGTCCCAGCTACTCAGGAGGCTAAGGCAGAAGGATCACCTGAGCCCAGGAGTTTGAGGTTGCTGTGAGCTAGGCTGATGCCACAGCACTCTAGCCTGGGCAACAGAGTGAGACTCTGTCTTAAAAAAAAAAAAAAAAAAAACAAAGGCATAAATGTGAAGAAACTATATAAGATTAGGGAAAGAATTACCTGAAAGAATCAGAGGTAAGAGTGCCCAACACTCATAAAGGGCTAGATATAGGGCCTCTTCTAAAAAACCAGACTATAAAAACTCATTATTAATGGAATTGGATATGGTACACAAAAAGTTTTACCTTGTTATTCAGAATTAATTAGCCCTAAATTGAACATGGCTCTAGTCCCACCTACAGACCTTAAAGTATCAAACTATTTTTAAATAACTTAATTGTGTCCCAAAATATACAGTATCTAGTAAGGTATAATTCACAATGTCTGCCAACCAATCAAAATAATTGCTATAGTTTGAATGTTTGTCCCCTCCAAACTCACATCAAAATTTAATTATCATTGTAACAGTTTTAAGAAGTAGTACCTTTAAGAGACATTTAGGTCATGAGGGCTTCACCTCATGAATGTAATAATGCCATTATCGCAGGAGTGAGTTCTTAATTATTGTGGGAATGGGTTCACCCCCACTTGCTCTGTCTCAAACTGGGCAAACTGATACTATTAATTCCCATTTAGAAGAAACTGACATTATTAGGTAGATCTAATAATCTGCCTATGGTTCCATGGCAAGTGAGCTACAGGTATGTAATTTGAACCCAAATAGTCTGATTCTACTATTCCTTTTAGCTTTGGGGGAAGTACAATAGTCACAAAAAGAATTATAGTAAAAACAGTATTTATCATCATTGGGGGTAATTATATTTATGGAGTACCTACTTCTATGTTCTTTTTTAAACTTCTCCTCAACTCTATGAAGCATCTTGATGCTTGGCACAGAGTAGATACTTCACAAATAGCACTGATGTATGAATAAACAAATAGACAAATGAAAACTTTCACAGTAGCTATTCTTTTCATTCATATATAAGAAAACTAAGGCTCAGATTTTTACCAAGGTCACACACCTCGATGAAGATTTGAAACCAGATCAGTCTGACTTTAGAACCTACACTTTTTACATTATTTCCCAATCATAAAAAATACGATGTTGGCCAGGCGTAGTGGCTCACACCTGTAATCCCAGCACTGTAGGAGACGGAGGTGGGTGGATTGCTCGAGGTCAGGAGTTGGAAAGCAGCCTGAGCAAGATCAAGATCCTGTCTCTACTATAAATAGAAAGAAATTAATTGGCCAACTAATATATATAGAAAAAATTAGCTGGGCATGGTGGCGCATGCCTGTAGTCCCAGTAGCCTGTAGCTACTTGGGAGGCTGAGGCAGCAGGATTGCTTGAGCCCAGGAGTTTGAGATTGCTGTGAGCTAGGCTGACGCCACGGCACTCACTCTAGCCTGGGCAACACAATGAGACTGTGTCTCAAAAAAAAAAAAAAAAAAAATGATGTCAAACATCTCAATAGAAATCATCTTAAGGAAGTTCTCAACTGTTATGTTATATTTTCACTACAGGGAATTTAATGAAAATGCAATTGGGTTCCTTATTATTAGTAGAATATAGAAGTATACTATTGTGGCTTTCTCAAAAATAGATATAAACAAAATTCTAATACAAAATTCAAAAGAAAACTGGACTATTTCAATAATAGCTCTAACCTGATTTTAGACAGTAGCTCTCCTCTATCTGCACAGTCCACACTGACTTGTCTAATAAGTTCATGAAATACAGTATTGTAAATGGTCTGTTCTTTCTTCAACATGTGTAGTAGTTTATGCATCTGGCAGAAGATAAGTAACATAATCAGTACTTAATAAAGTCTTATCAGTAAAAACCATTTTAGGAGGTAAGCACCCCAAATGCGAAAAAGTTTTAGAAACACCTTAATTTATTTCACTTACATTTTCATGTAAATGTACACACATACGCAGGTGATATATGATTTGTCTAATCATGTGCCTGTTTATATGATGCACTGAGAAAGTCACAGTATCACATCTATGTTATATCCACAAAAACATAAAACTTGATCTAATCATGAGTATATATCAGACAAACCAAAATTGAGGAACATCTATAGAATGGCCAGTGCCCTTCAAAATATCAAGGTCAAAAAAAATAAATAAATAAAGCAAAGAAAGGCTAAGGAACTGTTTCAGATTAAATTTGTCTAAAGGAACAGGGCAACTAAAAGCATTGATCCTAGAATCCTACATTAGGGTAAAAAGTAGCTATAAAAGCCATTACAAGGACAATTGATGAAATATGAACTTTGAATTTGAACTATGTTAGATAATATCATCATATCAATATTAAATTTCTTGATTTTGATAAGTCTATTATGTATAGGTAAGAGAAAGTACCTTCTGTTCAATGAAATAATAAATACTAACAATTAATTATACAGTGTTTCCACATGCCAAGTACTGTTCTAAGTACATTTATTATGTCATTTAATCTCCACAAAAGCCCTATTATTATCTCTAATTTACAGATGAAGAAATTGAGGCACAAATGCATTAAATGACTTGGCCAAGGTCACCAACTAATAAATGGCAGTGTCAGGATTCCAGCCCAGGCATTCTGCCTCCAGAGTGCATGTTTTTAACCTAACATTACACTGATCTTTGCAATTACCTTGGTTGGTCCTGTATATTCCTGAATTTCCATACCAGCCCTCTCTAGCATAGTATCCATCACATCATTCAGCTTGACCACTTCTACTCTTTTATTAGGTTTCCTAAAAGATTAAGGTGACAGACTTACATAATCAGCATTATAACAGGTCATCCTCAAGTGGCAAAAAGAATATAATACATGTAAAGAGAATATATATATTCCATAGAATATTAATCATGTTTTAAAGTATTAGATATGTATCCATTAACCTATTGGGACATCAGTAATACAGTGAAAAAGAGCAAGAAGACTGAAAATAGTATGATCCTCATTTTCATAAAAGAAAAAAAATGCTCCTCCCTAAAATTCTGTATACCTATTATATAGGATTCCAAGAACATAGAAAAAAATGTGGAGAGAGAAACATCAAACTGTTAACACTGGTTATCTTACAATGTGAGAGAAGAAAAGAGACAAAGATAAGATGAAGGAAAAAAAAAAGACTGTAGCAAAATGGAGAAATACTAATGGTTAAATGTATAATATAAAAGTATTTTATAGTACTTAAATATGCTATATATGTAAATGCATAAATCTGTAAAATTGAACATGCAATTAGACAAAGGCAAACACTGATTAGATGTGGAATTGTGGGCAATTATTGTCTTGGGTTTCTGCTATAATTTTAATATTTTTGTTTAACAAAGTACCAAGGAAAAGGAATGTAAATGTATATAGTTGTTCTTTGTGAGGTACACTTTAGAAAATAAGCTGTACTTACATGGATGGGAACAGCAATAGCCTGTTCTCACTATCTGTGAGAAGAGTAGTATATTTGCTACAATAAATAAGACAGGTAAATGTTATTTTAAAAATATGTTCTGGCCTATTTATCAATTAGCACACCTATCACCAAGAATCTTGGTTTCTAAGTACCATTCTCCACTAAAAGGAATTAGAACTTCTTAGAAAGTGACTCATGGCTCATTCCAGGGCTGGAGTTGGGAAATACAAGCTGAACCTAGAAATCTTATGGAGCCAGGAAATAAGGAAGTATTCGAATAATGATGGGGACCGTCAAAGGAACATAAAAGCCAGCTCAAAGAGCTGCCCTTTGCTAAATCTGGAAAAATTTGAACATCAAAATAAATAATAATAAAGAATGAAAACCCATCAAATAGGCCGGGAGCAGTGGCTCACGCCTGTAATCCTAGCTCTCTGGGAGGCCGAGGCGGGCGGATTGCTCCAGGTCAGGAGTTTGAAACCAGCCTGAGCAAGATCAAGACCCCATCTCTACTATAAATAGAAAGAAATTAATTGGCCAACTAATATATATAGAAAAAATTAGCCGGGCATGGTGGCACATGCCTGTAGTCCCAGCCACTCAGGAGGCTGAGGCAGCAGGATTGTTTGAGCCCAGGAGTTGGAGGTTGCTGTGAGCTAGGCTAACGCCACAGCATTCACTCTAGCCTGGGCAACAAAGCAAGACTCTGTCTCAAAAAAACAAAAAACAAAAAACCATCAAATAAAATAGAAATCCATGAGTCCATAGGGTAAAATGCCAACTAATAAATATAGAAGAAATGATGAAGCTAAAAAAAGTCATCAAAAGATCTGTAACTCGGCAGTTGTTAGAAAATACAGACTAAAGTATTTGGTAATGGAGGGCCATGTTGAATGTTTTAAAATATGTACATGAGTGTGTGTAAAACCCACCATCATGAAGAAATAATGTATAACATACATATCACATAAGATGAAAACAGTGACAGCCTCTGGATATTTTATTATACAACCTTAGTCTGAAGTTCTAGTTTTTTAAACTACGAATATTCAAGTGTTATTCAGAAAATAAAAGTAAGATCCCACTTTCAATCCCATAAAGAAGAATCAAAGAAAACAAGATAATTAGTTTGCAGTCTAAAGCAAAGTTCTGAAGCATATCTTATGATTGCAGTCCCCAACCCCCTAGGACTACTGACCAGTACCAGTCTGTGGCCTGTTCAGGATCAGGCTCAGAGCTCCAACCCCTATTTTCTCCCCATCCCTGGAAAAGCTGTCTTCCATGAAACTGTCCCGGTGCCAAAAAGGTTGGGGACTGCTGTCTTATGAGATTCTGGCTTAAAGGTCTACTTCCCTTGGTCTGCATGGTCATAACTCAAACCATTCCTAAAGGGCATAGTCAGGTACTCAGAACAAATTCCTATTTTTTAAAAAATTCAAAATTAAACAGCAGGAAAAGATAGAAAACATTTAAGATAGAAATCATTAAAATCCCAAACTCTTAAGTCCTTTTCATTAATTCTTTTTTTATATATCTTTCTTAAACTATATTAGGGTGGCTAGCCCGAATGTTGCCTCCTTTCAGTGTAGCTATTGCCCAGGAACATGAGTATACTGTTCTCAGATTCTTCTATGCCTGGGAAGGAGGAAACAGTGTCAACTTGTCAGATATTCAATATATATCATAGTACTCACTCGTCATAACACTCCAAACCTGAAACTCCTGTATTTGACACAATATGAAATTCCTCAGGAATTAAAGTATCTGTTAGTGTCTTTGGCTTTAAAAAAAACAACAAAAAAGAAATGAATACATTAATAGGTGAAAAAAATCGAATTCCACAAATCCTAACTCCTAACCCAAAGGGATACTATTTATTAGGTTGAGAGGTTTTGACTAGAGAAATAACAATACTAGTAATGTGAGTCATAGCAAATAACAAAAAATGAAGTAGAGCACAAACCTCCAAAATAACCATGAATCAGAAAACTTTGGTTCTAGTATTAGTTACACATATCCCATATATTCAGAAATTTATTGATTATTTTCTTTTAAATTCAGCAGGAAATTTGAAACACATCTTAGCAAAATACCAAAGGTAAGAATTCTACAACTTTATGTGTAGATTTCTTGGGGGAGGGGGAATGTCTCCCATACAGTATTTTCTAAAGTGGATAACTGTGGTTTGGAAAATGACTTAAAATAATATATCTTTGATCTTTTCCTGCTAAATACCCTTTTTAAGAAATAATTGCAGCTGGGCGCGGTGGCTCACACCTGTAATCCTAGCACTCTGGGAGGCCAAGGCGGGAGGATCATTAGAGCTCAGGAATTCTAGACCAGCCTGAGCAACAGCAAGATCCCCATCTCTACTAAAAATGGAAAGAAAATCTAGCTGGACAACTAAAAAATATATAGAAAAAGTTAGCCAGGCATGGTGGCACATTCCTGTAGTCCCAGCTACTTGGGAGGCTGAGGCAAGAGGATTGCTTGAGCCCAGGAGTTTGAGGTTGCTGTGAGCTAGGCTGATGTCACTGCACTCCAGTCCGGGCAACAGAGTGAGACTCTGTCGAAAGAAGACGGTAAAGGTAAAGGTAAAAAGGTAAAGGTAAAATGGGAAAGGGAAAGGTAAACAGGGAAAGGGAAAGGGAAGGAGGGAAGGAAGGAGGGAGGGAGAGAGGGAAGGAGGGAGGGAGAGAGGGAGGGAGGGAAGGAGGGAGGAAAGAAAGGAAAAGAAAGAAAGAGAGAAAGAGAGAAAGAATTGGAAAGTACTATAAAGACTGGTAAGCAATGCAGATTGTTGCTATAGTATGACATTGGTTTATATTTCGGGGAAATGATTTTTAAAAGGAGAAACAAGGAGAAAAGGTTATTTGTAAAATACTTTACCTTATGAGGCACAATGACACCATCATGTGGCTGTAACGAACGGTCCAACTGCGGGGGACAAACTGTATTCTCCCTAGTCTCCCCTCTTACATATTTAACATCATACAGAAAAGAAACGTCCCTAAAAAATGAGAAAAATATACTCACAAAACAAATTTTCACTCTGGCTACTAAGTAAGAGTAAGGTCCAACACATGCCCTCCTAGTAAGTAAAATGGTCATTTGTGCCAGCAAAACTTATCTCCTTACCAAATACTTTACTAAGACGGGCATTAAACATGAGTTTCCACCACATTCTTCCTCTTCTCCACCTGAAACATCTCATTCACATCACAAGCTTTCTTTTCCTCCAATCTCAGGTTAAGACACATTCTCTTACCTATCGTTATTCCCTCCACTTAGGTCCTTGATTCAATCTTTGCCCATATCCTCAGGAATCTCATTTCATCAATCACAACTTCTGTGTGTCTCTCACTCTACTGGAACATTCCTCTTGGTCTATAACAAGTCTTTTCTCCTAAAAAACTTCCCTTCACTATGCATGGCTGTCATGTTATCATGATCGATCTTTGATCAATCCATCATCTCTCACTTTCTGTTAAATGTCAAACTTCCTGAAACTTCCCAGCAATCCGATTTCCATCCACACGTCTCTTCGGAAACCCTTACAGAGGAAGCTGATGCTGACCACCACTGCCAAGTTTAACACGGTTTATCTGTTGTGGGTGGCGGCAGCGCAGAGCGCCAGCCGCAGCCTAGTCCTGTCGTCGCCAAGTCCCGCTCCGGGACTCCACATCGCAGCCAGAGAGGAGGGAGCCTTCGGGGCTCTGTCCGCTGTGCGCAGGTGTTCCAGTAATCCCCCGAGGGCGAAGAACTTAGCATCTGGCTGCACCGCGACTCCCGCTGCGGCACCCACACTGCCTACTGGGGACGTGGGGACCTGGGCACCGCCGCCCCGCGACGCGGACCACCGAGCCGGAGACGCCGCCCCGCGCCGCGACCCGGACCACCGAGCCGGAGACGCCGCCCCGCGCCGCGACCCGGACCACCGAGCCGAGATCGCCGCCCGCGCGCGACCGGACCACCGAGGCCGCGGAGACGCCGCCGCCCCGCGACCCGGAACACCGAGCCGAGACGCCGCCCCGCGCCCCGCGACGCGACCACCGAGCCGGAGACGCCGGCCCGCGCCGCGACCGGACCACCGAGCCGAGCGCCGCCGCCCCGCGACGCGGACCACCGAGCCGGAGACGCCGCCCGCCGCCGCGACCGACCACCGAGCCGAGACGCCGCCCCGCCGCGACGCGACCACCGAGCCGGAGACGCGCCCCGCGCGCGACCCGACCACCGAGCCGGAACGCCGCCCCGCGCCGCGACCCGGACCACCGAGCGGAACGCCGCCCGCCCGCGACGCACCACCGAGCCGGAGACGCCGCCCCGGCGCACCGGACCACCGAGCCGGAGACGCCGCCCGCGCCGCGACGCGGACCACCGAGCCGGAACGCCGCCCCGCCCGCGACCCGACCACCAGCCGGAGACGCCGCGCGCGCGACCCGGACCACCGAGCCGGAGACGCCGCCCCGCGCCGCACCCGGACCACCGAGCCGGAGACCCGCCCCGCGCCCGCGACCGACCACCGAGCGGAGACGCCGCCCGCCGCGCGACCCGGACACCAGCCGAACGCCGCCCCGGCCGCGACCGGACCCCGAGCGGAGACGCCGGCCCCGCCCCGCGACCGACCACCGAGCCGAGACGCGCCCGCCCCGCGACCCGACCACCGAGCCGAGACGCCGCCCCGCCCCGCGACCCGGACCACCGAGCCGGAGACGCCGCCCCGCGCCGCGACCCGGACCACCGAGCCGGAGACGCGACCCCGGACCCCAAGCCGGAGACTTCCGCGCGACCCGGACCACGAAGCCGGAGACGCGACCCCGGACCACCAAGCCGGAGACGCGACCCCGGACCCCAAGCCGGAGACTTCCGCGCGACCCGGACCACGAAGCCGGAGACCGCGCCCCGCGCAGCCAAGCAGCCCCGCGACCCCAGATCCAGCTCCTGCTGCCCCACCAGGGCCTACGCCGGCAGCACGTGCTACGCTCCACCGCCGGAGGCCCAACACCACCTTCCAGGTGCCGGGCCCCCTCACCCTCGGTTTGCCCAAATAGACTTAAGAATGCTCAAAAAGAACCAGTCTCATATCAGTTATCTTCCACTACACTTCCTGGAATATTTTCCAGAGTTGATCACATTCGCAAATTTTATGTAAATAAATCTTAAGATTATTTCAAACTTAGAAGTTTAACAAAACAAAATAAAAAATGTGAAAAGTGAAAAACCAAGATACGGGCAAGTGGTCTAAGCTGGGCCAAATAAGTGCACTCTCCCGGGAGACTTAATCTTGAGCAACTGAATCTTAAGGGAAGATTTCCCAGACAGAAAACAATAGGCATTAATTCATCCCCACAATGATGCCCCTGTGGACTGTTAGATCCTTCTACCAGATTCCCCAGAGCTTCCTTAAATTCAGATTTTTCTGAAGTCTGAGTATTCAACGCTTTCCTTCAATTTTGTGACCTCTCACCTTCAACTTTCCTATAATATTGTTTTCATAAACTAGATGGCTTCCTACTCAAGCATTAAGCACTCGAAGGCCTTCTTCACCAGACTCCATATCCAAATCCTCAATGTCTAATTCGAGTGTTACATTCATGAAAATAGTTCTGCCATTCCCTGTCAAAATAAGTCTCCTCTAACTCTGAGCTCCCTCTTTTTAGCACTTGGAGTTTTGCAGAATACCTGGAGCCACGCTTTTCATATGGCAGACATAATTAAATATTTGTAGAATTGAATATTCACATTTCACCACCCATATTTTGGAATTTCATAATGACTAGTTATCTTGTTATTTAAAGTCACAGCAATGCCCTGGATCATTTACATTGAAAAGATTTCATGTGCAGAGGCCATAATAGAAAAGATTGGTAGATTCAACCGTATACATTTTTACATGACAGAAACCACCAAAAGCAAATGCAAAAGGAAATTCACAAACTGAGAGCTTTCAGTTCATATCACTGACAAAAAGACAATTTCATATAAAGTCTTCCTATAAATAAGAAAAAAACATCGATCAAATAGAAAATTAAGCAATTCCCAGAAAATACAAATAGCTCTTAAGCATTAAAAAACATTCACAGAAAAACAAATGCGGATAGATTTTAAACAAATGAAAACATAGTCAATCTTGTACATGGTAAGAGAAACATAAATTAAAACTAACCAGAGATACCATTTTTCAACCATCAAATTGGCAAGGATAAAAAATGTTTGATAAAATACATTGACAAGGAACAACAGGCACTTATGTTCAGCTTATATAAACCAATATATGTATCCTTTTCTCCATTTTATGTAATTATACATAGTTCTAAACCTTGATTTTTTCACTTATCACAGAGATCACCCCATATCAGTACATAATGAGTTTTTAAACTCGCCATGTAGTATTCCATTTTATTAATTCCCTAATTGCTAAACATTCTTTTGCTACTGCAATGAATATTTTTGCCAATATACCATTTCTCATGTGAGTATATCTGCAGAATAAATTCCTAGAGGTGAAATTGCTAGGTCAAAATGTATGCATTTCTAAATTTGATAGACATACCAAATTGCTTCAGATTAAAAAATATTCATCTCACCCTCACATGAATTTGGTATTTCATTACCATGCGTGGTTTTATCTACATTTACTACATAGATATATTCAGAAATATGCAGTATAATTTTGAATGTTTAATATCTAAATTGGTATTACAGTGTATTAATCACAAGCAATGTGCTTTATTTGCTCTAAATTGCCTAACTCTCCTTGTTCCTTTTTTCTTCCATGAGAATTTTAGGACTAGCTTGTCAAATCCCATGAGAAACTTTGTTGAAATTTTATTTGGAATTGCATTGAATTTACAGATTTGAGGATAACTGCCATATTTATATAATTGATACTTCCTACTCATGACCATGGCATATTTCTCTATTTACTCAGATCTTCTTTTAGTCTTTCAATAAAGATATATAATTTTCTCTATAAAGGTCTTACAGTTTTTTGATAGATTTATTCCTACATACCTTTGAGGGTATCTAAGTGTTTTTGTCTTTGCTATTGTGGGATTTTTTATTCTGGTTGATGATTACCAGTGTGCAGGAATATGTTGATCATGTATGTATCTAGCAACCATGTTAAGCTCTCCTTTTCATTACTTTTAAATGTTTTTGTTTTATTTGATAAAAATTCAAAAACTGCATAAAATAAATACATAGTTTATAGATTTATTATGAGATAAATATCCTTGTTGGCAGACAAAACTTTACCAGTTACCCCAGAAGTCTTTCACATGATCCTTCCATAATCTTCCTCACCACCTATGAGTGACTACTGTCTTGACTTATGCTAATGTCTTCCTTAATTTTCTTTGCAGTTTTATCACCCATTTTCAATGCAGTAAAAAGGTGGGGAAAAAAGAAAGAAAACTCTAGCCATACAGGGCCATTACAATCCTGATAGTGATGAATGGTTTGGAGACATTAACTTTGGTGCTGTCTTAGGTAAACTGGGATGTAAGGCAGGCACATATCTGGTACTGGGTAGAATAGTGCAATCAAAAGCCATCCTAAAGGATTTGCTTGATTACAAATCTAGAGGCTCTCTGGAGGGTGAGCTGCAAACTCTTGATGGAATACCATTCATTTGAGGAAATTGTATCTTGATCTGAGCTCCAAAGGCTCCAAACTTACCTATAAATCTAGAGACATTAAATTTTTGAGTTCATATTTGGTATGAGCTAAAATTCAAGGATATTCCAGACTAGAGGGTGTTTCCAATGTCTACAACCAGGACAAAACTACATTACATCAGGTTATAGGATTGTACATGCAAATGCAAAAAATTTATTAATTTTTTTCAGCAAATATTAATTGAGCATATTATAAGTGACAGAAAATATGCTAGATAAAAAGGATATAGAACTGTAAAAAAAAAAAAAAAAGACACAGTCCCTACCATTGTGGGGCTTTCAACATGCAGGGGTTGATTCACAAACCAAAAAGTATAATATGGTAACTATT